TCTCTTCCCTGAAACTTACTTTCTTGAGATGACTCTCTTCACTTTTAAATAGCACCGATAAAACCCACCCCGGGGGAGAGGAAGAGGATTTACAGAAACTGAAAACCAGGTACTTTCAAATTATATTAAAAAAAAAAAAAAAAAAAAAATCCGGCCAGATTTATTTTTAAGCATCCCCTTGGCAAGCGCCAGTAAGTTGTGTCTAATGGCTTCTGTTCCTGAGGCTCGCTGCATCTCCTCCACTGCAAATTCCAAAATATATTTGCACAAATGATTACTATTAATAATGTAGTGAGATGCTGGACAGACTCAGAAGCAGCCAGGGCTCTTGCCCTCAGATTTTTACCATCATTGAGCTTTACAGCCCCGTGAATAGCGAGCGCACCACGGCCAACCATCGGCAGCACCAGCCCCGTGAGGGAAGCTGCAGTTACGAGCTGATTTACTAAAGGGGATTGACCAGAAGAACTCCTGCGGTACGAGCCATTGGGCAATATTTCATGGTAGAAACGCTAATTCTGGCCATTCTCTCCCACACTGAGCATTGGGCGGCGGGAGACGAGCAGCAAACGCTGCTCGTGGGATAAAAAGGGGGGGCTGAGAAGAAATCACCAGGAGGGCTCAGGACCTGTTGTGTCCCTTGGTGTGGTGACACTCTGCTGTGCAGAAGTGGCCCTTAACCCCAGCACGGAGGCGGCCCCAGCCAGGAAGTGTCACTGCAAAATTCCCTGGGGGAAAGGACCGTGGGGAAACCACAGACTGGGTGACATGCAAACGTTTGATAAGGAGGCACCGAGCTCAAACAGCTGTGGGGGGAAATTATCTGCATGTTCAATAGGGGCACAACATTTCCCGTCAGGTTTCTGACTGATAAAATACGACGTTTCGATACAATCTGAATTAGGTAACTTGGAATAGCTCTTTTGGGCAAAAATCCGACACTTTCTGCTTCTTGCCTGGGCTCAGCAGAAAAGCTGCACGCGAAACGTTCGCGTTTTTGGCCAGTCTTAGTATCAATAGAAAAGAGAGGTTCAGAAAAGCCCACGGAAACTCATCCGGCGCACGCAAAATGTTCGCGTTTTTGGCCAGTTTTAGTATCAATAGAAAAAGAGTGGTTCAGAAAAGCCCACGGAAACTCATCCGGATGAGATTTATAGCCCTCGTTCCGGCTTGCTTTGCAAACAGAGCAGCAGAGGGGTGGCTGGCTAGCACAAAGCTCTGGTAGCCACATCCAGGCAGCCCTCCCCTGGGGGCTGGGGGCTCCCTCGGTGGCAGAGGAGTCCCAGCCTCCCCGCCAGCACCCTGCGCCGAGCAGAGGAGCCGGAGCAGACACGAGGGTGTTTCCCCTTAATCATCCCGTCCTGGTCCTTCGAGCGAGGGACGGGCTGAGGAGGCCAAAGTCTGAAGCTGAAAAATTTAAACCATATGAGGTTTGGATCCGTGCTCAGTTGAAAGTCAGCTAAACAAGGAGCGGGGGGAAGGCATGGAGCAGAAATGGTGGCAGCTCCTCTCCCCTTCTCTCAAAACCTGCTCCCCCTTCACCGCAGAGGCCTGACACTCGGGGACATCTGCTTCAGCCACCCAAGGGAGCCACCACAGCATGACAAGTAGCAGCTCCGTGGGGACCACAGCCATGGGGACCTTCTCCTGCGCAGACCCCAGCAGCCGTGGTCCAGCCGTTCGACCACAGCCTGCCGAGAGATGTGCAAGAGCTGTGTCCTCGGGGAGCTGGGGGGACGTGTCCCCACAAGCCCCATGACAGCAGCACAGCTCCAGCACAGCTCCAGCACAGCTCCTGCCCGAGCCGAGGCACAAATAACAGCAGGAAGCGTCTGGAGCCAGTTCCTGGAGCAGAGGGAGAGGCTTCACCCTGCGAGAGCTCGACGGAGCCTGTCGTACTCCGGACTTTGGCTCTTGGCGAGGGGAATTTGCCAGCTCAGGGTGGCTTCTGCAGAAGCAGCAGCCAAAGGGAAGGCAGTAAGAACCACCCACGAGACATCTCAGGCCAGTGCTGACACCTTCACTGGCCCATGGACCAGGACTGGCTGAACCTGGCACTTACAGGGGCGGCACATGAAAGGCTGGGACAACCTTTAAGCAAGGTGACAGTTCCCTTGTGCAGGTTTCACAAATAAGGAAAGCTGCATTTAGCAGTAAAGAGGACTTCCAGTAGAGCACCGCACTGGGGACACATCTCCTTGCCTAGACCTGAAGACAGGAAGAAGTGAGAGCCCTTCAGCCCCCTCTACCCACAGCATTTGGGAGCCGAGCTCTTCACGTGCAGGAGGAGACATCAGCCAGGCAGCAGATGTTTTTCAAAAAGCAAAGCCAATGTGATCCAAAGCAGGTTTTACCTTCTACATACCAGCCAGAAAGGCTGGACTAGAGCCATGGAGGAACCTGTCAGCCTCTCTGCTCTGTGTGGCTGTGGTCCTCGGCAGGGACTGCAGTTCCCCCAGCAAAACAGGGTTTGAGGAGCAGCAAAGCCACACCAGGGCCTCCGGGCACTAAATGAAGCCATCAGGGGAGCTGGGAGGAGGGCAGGGAGGTTTGGGATTGCACAAGACAGGTCTGCGTGCACTGGTGAGGAGCAGGATCTCCACAGGTGGCGCGAAGGATGCACAGCACCGTAGAGCTCGCTTATTGCAGGAGCTTGGAAGTGTAATATTTAATCATTTTAGCTCCTCATGGCTCAGGGGTAGGCTGATGCACATGGCACAGCTTCCCAGGCACATCGGGGGCTCCCAAGGCAAAGAGTTCTCCTTCCCCAGCAGTTACATCTGGGCTGATTACAAAGGGACACCTTTCTCCATCCTGGATGTTCTTGATATATTCTTCCCTTGTATCAGTCCTTGTACCAGCAGGTGACACCCACTGTCTGTTGCTGGCAGGTAAAATTTGCCTGCAAGGATGGAAGAATTGCAATGGACATGAGCCTACAGGGAGGAAGCAACAAGAGGGGCCGTAGGGTGAATCACGGTGACAGAAAAACCACAAATTGGGAAGAATCAACATGAAATGGAAAAAATAATCTGAATTTCAAGGGAGAGGCAGGAAGCCGAGTACATTGGCCTGCAATTGCCAGCCCCAAGCAAGAGACATTTAGACCAGCTACTGCACGCTGGTCCCAGCTCCAAAAGCCAGAAAACACCCCGACAAACAACCGCTCGAAAGCCACAAACCACCAGAGGAGAAGAGCTGGACCTTGGACCTGCAGTAACTGCCAATTTAAGAAGAAATGCAAACATTGATTACAGCCCGTGTCTCTTGCCAGACAGAAAGGGAACGTTCCCCAACCAAATCATCCCCTCTGGTTGGATGAGGACGAGGAGGAGGTTCAGGTCCCTTCCCAGTGCCAAAGCTGGCAATCAACCTACTGACCAAACAAGCAGCCGTGCTCTGTACTCCAGTTCCCTCCATTCATCACCCCGTTTTCTCCCTGCAGTCGGTCTCCGATGCCTCGTGAGATTAATAAACAAACAACTAAATCGATAGAGTCATCTCGATCCCTGCAGGCCACAGGCTGCAAACAACACAACTTCTGCCTGAAAGAAGTACCAACGTGTGAGGGAGGCTCCCAAGAGAGTAGCTGGGCACCCCAGCTCTCAGCTGCCCATAAATCAACAACAGGCACACAGGGGAACTGTTCAGCAGAGCTCTGGGAAACAGAGATACCGAGCAGGTCCTCCCCTCCTACAGCTTCCTTATTTTCTCCTCCAGCATCAGCAGATCCGGCCTTGACCCTCCCTGAAATCCAGGCACTGAAGGAATATTTTCACATTCTTTGTGACAGGCTGGGAAATAATCTCATTTTCAAGGGGGCTGCTCTGCAAACATGGGTCCTCTTCAAAGATGGCCTTGGGCTCTTCAGCTCCCATCAGTAGGGAACCTCCCCAGAATCCCTCTGAAGCAGAGAGAAGCGTGTGTACGAGAATGAAAGTAAATTAGGTCTGAACAAGATTAACAGGGATTTAATTGAACTATGTGAACTGGAACTCCAGTCACGAGCTACTTATTAGTCCCTCTCAAGGGATTGCGCTGCTTGCACTGGAGGAGCACAAGGATGCATTGTGAGCGTGGGACAGCTCAAGGGGACAGCAGTGGCCACAGCTCGTGGCCAGATCAACACAATCAACAAGGAAGTGAGGAATTCCCAACTCCCAGCCATGTTTTCTTCAGAGCTGAGGCTTGGGGAGGGAAAGGAACTCGGTAACAGGTATTAGCAGAGGGAAAGCCAGCCCTGGTGCAGCTCCTGGGCTCGGGGTGGCAGAACAGGGTGCTGCTCACCCAGGTGCTCCCCACTGCTTGGCTGGTATCTGGAGGCAGACCTTGGAAAACCTCCCCTTCAATAAAAGTGACTTAATGAGGTCTACAGCTCCCTTTGGGATGTTAATGACAAAACAGCCTGGAGAAAAGTGCTCAGGAATTAAAGGAGTCACCACACTAGTCCTCCTCTGGTTTGTTTTCTGGTGAGGGAACCAAGAGATGCTTGCCAGAGCCTGGCTACCACGCCGGTCCTACCGCAGCCAAGAGGAGCCACCAGACAGCTCCACGCTCCAGCCACATAAACCTGGCCACAATCACACACCGAGGGGCTACTGAAAATCCCTTTGATCAGGCTACTGAACCCCCATCTAATCCCTTGCTTGTATTATTAACAACTGATGCCTTTATCGTCACTACCTTGATGGGGGCTCTTGGAGTCAAAATCTCTCATGAGAGGCAAATAAATTTAGTTATCGCACCATTTCCTCCTTCCTTCCAGGAAGGTGAAGCTGCACTGGGAGATAGTTTTCTATTTCCAAGTCAAATACAGATACACACATGCCTGACAGCATTAACGAACCAATTTCTCACAGATTAAAGGATCCGAAAGGCTTTCCCTTAACGGATCATTTTTCTGAATAGGTTATTTATGTCCCTGTGTTCCTCTGGTCAGAGAGTCCTGGCAGCTTTCACAATGAACGCACGGGAAGAGGCAGCACAACTTTAAAGAGAGATTTCTTTTTAAACAAAGAGATTCTGATTGTATTTATTACACATTGCAAGAGAAACTAAAATACATGGGATATTGGTAATCTCTAAAAACATAGTGTAAGTTCAGCTACAAAAGCATTCAAACATGTAACGAGCCATTAGGAACAGACTGGGAAATTTATCTTAATCCCTCTTCCCCCCAACAAAAACAAACACCAATATCCAGGATTTCTACTTAGCCATGAACAAGCCAGCCTGCAAACAGCCACACAGAGATGTTGATGGAGTAGCCTGCTATTTCAGGTGACAACCACACAGCGCTCATCACTAACTGGTTCTCAGCCATAGAGGCACTTTTATATTTCGGGTAATGCCTGTGCCTCTTTCAATAGTTGCAGTTGTGTTAAGCATCAGCCCCCTCCCCTTTAGGTAACCTGCAGAAAGCCAGAGTTGTTAGATTAAACACCCACCTTCCCCATTTATTAAAATGGAAGAAGTGCTCTGCTGTACCTACCCAGGGCAGTAGCAAGGCTTTTCTTTCCCCTGCATATCACAGACAGGAACACGGGTCCATAATGGAAACTCATAGCACAATATTGTTCTTTGTTATTTGCGTGGGAAATTTGTGTAATGTTTCTTTGTACTGGGAACTCAAAGCAACTTTAGAGTGCTTGTGTCTCCCGTGCTTTGTTCTCTCCTCCTAGTACTGCTTCATGTAGCACCAGAAAAAAAAAGAAGAAAAGGAAAACGCTGAATTTAAAGCAGAACTCTAAGCTGGATTTTAAGCAGTGTGACTCGGTGTCAGCATCCTGGTTCAGAGAAGCAGAGAGCCTGGAGCAGGGAAGCAGGGAGAGGTTAGAATCAAAGGGGTACTGGGATCCACCTGACACCCACCAAAGGCAAGAGCGAGCAGAGAACGTGGCCATTCTCAACACTGATGGTTCCTGTAAACGTGCTGTTCAACTCCTGTTAGAGAACACGCAGCACAACACTGCTACCCTATCTGGGCTCACGAGGCATTTGTGAAATGAAGATGGGAGTCTATATATGCAAAGAGGATGGCAGACTTGCAGCCCTGCCAGAGAGCCCTTTCCATCAAAGCCACTCTGAACCCTGGGTGCGCCTAAAAGAGCAGGTTCTCCTCCCATTGACTCATTCGTGATCAAACAAACCAAGATGTGAGCTGGCATCAGGAAGCTGGAGCTGCCCTACAGAGACTCTGTGGCTACGTCACCACCTATCTCTTCCCAGTCCTGTCTAGCCATATTTAAATCTAATACTAGATTGTCCCTGGGCCTGGAGAACCGGAGCCTGAAGGAACATAGTGTATGTGTCTCTTGCCATATAGTCATGCTACACAGCCAGCCTGCCACCCCTTGGATCTTAAAATACCACATCTCCTCAGGCTGAGATTGTATTTAACTCCAGGCAGAACAGAGCGAGGGGAGGTGCAGCAGACCGTAGCAGGTAAGGCTGGGAGGAAGTTTGCAGATGCAGCAAACACCAGCCGTGCTGAAATGAGCAGAGGGTCAGGACTCAGCTGGCAGGAGGGTTTGTCACCAGCACAGCCAGGTCATGCTGTTCCATACACGAGCAACACAGCACTGTGAGACTCCCACCCCGGAGCAGCTTTTCTCCAACATGCAGTACCTTGGTCTTCCCAAGTTTCCAAGAAAACCCCTTTAGCACAGGCATTAAATTCTGCACCTTCCAGAATGATATTGCTCCCTTGTAGTCAGTGCAGTCCCCACCACAGCCTCAGTTCCCTGAAACGTATCTGCTTTCAAAGGTGGGAACAGAAAAGAAAAGTGCATGGGTGGGGAATACGAAAGAGGTAGCGACGCTGGGGAAATGAAAGCTTTCATCTACAGCAGTCTGGAATCTGATGAGTTATTACCTAAAGAATTAAAGAATATAACAAAGACATTAGTATTAAGCCATAAAATGCAGCTATGTATTTCAGACTAGATGACAACAGAGATGAATACAAAGCTGTGTAGTGTGGTATCCTTGATCCATTTGATCCCTCTGCCTTCAAAAAACACAGCACAAACCAGTATCCAAAGCAGCAAACCCATGCTCCACCTTCCGCAGGGACTTTACTACAAACCCCAGCCAGCACGGAGGAGCTACAACAGGCCTCTCTACCCAGGAGAAATGACAGAAGTCACTTTAATGGTGACTGATGCATTAATCATGTCAAACGAAGTCCTGGATATGTGAAGTCCTCTTTGCTTGTAAGAAATCTATGGCAGAACCCTGCCCCTTCCACTCTTACAAGTACCTTCTCCCTTGTCCCCGAAAGGTAAAGCATGGCAATGCCAGAAAACCATGTAATATAGTTAGTTGCCTTTGATGTCATGTCCGAGGAAGCATGATTATAGCTGATTATTTTGTCTTTTGAGGCTCATCGGTCATGGCTTTATCGTTTCTTTTTGGTTTCCTTCTTGGGCTTCTTGCTGATCTGTGGAGCAGTTGCCTTTGGCTTCTTCACTGTCTCTGCATTCTTGGGCTCAAAACCGTCCGAGTCCTACAAGAATCAAATAAGAAACAGTCAGTAACTTTACTTTACAATCTGCTGACAGCTCACTTTGTGAATCTCAGTACAAGCCAAAGGAAGCAAATGCTGGGTATCTCTGTTGGAACGTATTTATATCAAACTGAGTCCACATTTAATGAGAATTGAGCAGCACCATCTCTGCTTCTTCCACATGTGCTTTTTGATGAGTGTGAGTTTATGCACAGAAACAGCTTGTTACCAGAGAAGCCGTTAAAAGCTGAAGTGTCTAAAACAGGCTTTGGAGAAGAAAAACAAAATCAACTTTAAAGGCAAGAAGAAAATGAACACTAAATGAAAACTATTCAAATCAGGAAAAGGAGAAGATACGATATAATCAATCACCAGTGTGCATGGAAACACTCAGCAGGTATTTCTGCCAAATGTTAATCATCATCATGTGCAAGACGAATATTCCCCAAAACAGTAGTAAGAATGTAAAGTTCAGTCTCTAAACCAAGCCCAAAATCCAGGAAGGGAACTGCAAGCAAAATTTTCTTCACCTGGACTAGCAAGGAATGTTTAGATACCCTGCTTGTTTCCTTCAGGGGAGATGACAGATAATATTTCAGCCATGGGAAATAAAGTCTAGTTATCTTGTAAAAACACAAGGGAACAGCGCCAGTCTCATCTGAGAAAGCACACACATGCAGATTGCCTCCTTTCATTAAATGCATTTGAGTATAAATATTGCTTTAGCATCTTGGTTTCTATCAGTTAGAGCGTGCCAACTGAAAAAGGACACACAAAAAACGGCTGAGCAAGACGTGCTAGTTTCAAGCTTCCAAGACAGCGCTCCAGATAATGGAGGGGGAGGCGAGCATCTGACAGTATCCTTTTAATCAGGGAGCTTGGTTCAAACGTCTCTCAAGTTACTGGGCTATTACAGTTCACATCTGTGTGGCTTTCCAAGGAAGGAGACTTGGCTGGCTTTCCAAAGGCTGGAATGGGCGCACGGGGAGCTGGCAGGCTCTGGAGGAATGGAGCAACGTGGAGTTATTAGTCAGGGATGCAGCGTGCTGCTGCCGTCAAGTGAACACTGCTGCCTTCTAATGTTCAAAGCAAGGTAGACTTCAAAGCCTGAAGCTTCCAAGACAGAGAAGCTCCTCAATATCCTACCCAGACTCAAGCATCATTCCCAAGATCTGGAAGGGTGGCCTTTGGTGTTTACAGTCTTGTAAATTAGTCATATGGACAGTAAATCAAGAGGACAGTATACATATGGAGAAAATAAAAAGTAGAGCATGCAAACATCAAAGCACACTTGCAAATTTAAACAGTAACAGGTCCTTGAGTTTTTATCATCTAAATTGGGGGCCTGATCTTCAGTTTCCCACTTCAAACTAAAGCTCTCACCCTTTTCAGCTCTCAAGAATCAAGCTACTCGAAAATTTATCAGGGGAAACCATGGACTCTGACAGACAGGTGCTGGTGGCTGCAAAATAACAGTGCAAGACTTGTGATGCCACTGCATCGTGACCAGCGGCCACCTGCTTCATCTGCCTGCTGGGAGCCACAGATCCTGCCGCAGGGAGCACGCACCCCTGCCGGGGCAGCATCACTAATCCTGTACAACAACACATCACACCTACAGTTAGAGGTGAAAGCTTTGGGTCACAAACTGTACCCTTCACACTCTACCTCACCCTCAGGCATTCCCTTCCCCAGACAGGCTGAAAATTTCCATGCTTCCTCTGCACATGGCAATAAAGATAGCCTGAAAACAGAACTTCCCCTGCCGAGCTCTTACTGAAAATACATCACACACATTTAGAGAAAATCTATTTCAAATCACCAAACTTGCAGCCTGATCACCAACACTGAAACACCTGTCCCCAGCACCACTGGCATTACCAAACACATGGAGCTCTTTTATCAGGAAAGGTAGGTAGATGCAGGTCATCCCACTGTGGCCCAGTCTAGGGGAACTGGAATCCTGTAGCTCACCTCAACCTTTCACTTCAACCTTCTCCTCTACTCACTGCACCAAAGGACCCTCCATTTGCCAGTGCAGGATTGGGTGTCAGGACTGAAAACTGCCTTCCTCATGTTAGAATATACTAGAAGTGTATCTCTTTGCCAAAAGTCCCCCACAAACTAGAGCCCAGAGTCATTTCCTGAAAGGCAGGTCCCGCAAAGGGGACACCTGGCTGGCAATTCATAAAGTAAATCAGCAGAAGGATGACAATATGGGGTTGGGACTAAAGGCTTCTCGCGTGCAGTCAGGAACATACTTTTTGCACGATTTGCCAGTGCTTTAGGTCACTTTTTTCACTGACATTGAGAGAGACCCTGGCTCAGGTATTTGTGCCTGACTCTCTAATCTGGGGGTATATCACAAGACAAAAGCTGGAGGTGGCAAAGCTAGAAGGAAGGAAAGAGAACAAACAATGATAACTGTCATCAATCCCACGGCCAGACCTCTGTGTCTCTACTCAAAGTCCCCTCCCACCCTATTTTCTCTGCCTCTGCCCATCTATGTCAATAATAAAGAGCACTACTTACTGTTTTATGGGACTTTGAAACTGGCAGGATTATGGCGAGCACACAGATAAGCTGGAAAATGGCTCCAAAGAAGAGTCCGTAGCGTAACACATTCTCCATGAACGTGGGCTCAGGGATTTCGGGTGGGGAGAAATCCAACTCTGCAGCCATCGTGAGTGCACCCTTCTTCTCCTCTAATGCTCTCCAAGAAAACTGGTTACTACAAGGGTGAGGGTGGGGGGAAGAACAATAATTTGCATCACGCTTTCTGGTATTCACTTTCCATTATCAAAAAATTACAGACTACCTCATGCAGGTTTTTTTAAGACACCCCTGAGCTACAGAACCCATAACAAAGAGCGAAACAAAACTTGCATTTTATTTGGATGCTTGCCTTTTACCACCTGCCTAAGAAAATAGTCCTCAAATGCTGGTATTAGTCCATTTGCAGGTGAGGGCAAGACAAACAAAGTAAGAAGAATAATCATGAAACAATAAGGGAAAAGCTTAATAAGATCACACAGGGTGACTATTATTCACTTTTACTTACATTGTATATGTGGTCACAGCCTCGCTGTTCCAGATGGTGTAGAAAACCAACTACTACTTAAACAAACCACACAGGAGGCAGATCTGTTGAAGAGAGAGGAATGAGTTATGTGTTTAAAGCTAAGCCTGGTTTTAGCCACCCGTTACACTAAGCCCTCTATACCTTGCAACGGTCACACAGGTAGTTTGTGGCAGAGTTAAAATATTGATCTCCTGGGTCCCAAGCTAGTTTCTGATCCACCAGACCAACCTTTCTTCTTTCCTTTATCTTTTGCTAATGGAGTTGTCAATTCATTCTATGAATGACTAATGGCTTTCTACAAAAACAGAGAACTCTCCTGCCAGATTTGCTGGAGTAGGCCACACAAAGTCCCAAAAGGGAAATTCAATTAGTCTGAGATGCCATCAGAGCTCAATTGTGATTAGTGCCTTACTCAGTTTTCCTGACCTGTATGATCCCAGTGTGTGCTTATTGAATCAGCATTACTTATTGATATTTACAATTGTCTTTATTACTAAAGCTTGGGTGTGAGGTTGTGCTGCATGCACATTTCAGTTGAACAGTAGTTATCTGCTTCCTAGAAACGATCTCCAAAGCTGGCCCTATATTTCTCAGGTTAGGAGGAGATTTCTACTACCTGCAGATGTGACCGAGCTCAGAAAGATGGCAAACTCGGAGTGTAATTTGAGTAAAGTTATAGTTGATAAATTTGAGAATCAATCAACAACTCAACGCCATTGCATAAGAGGCAAATATCATTTGGAGACATATTAAAAGGAGTGGTGTATAAATTACAAGAAATAATTATTTTGTTTTAATTCAGCAGAGGTACGGGATCTTATTTTGAATTTCAAAAGAAAGGAAAATATTTCCAACTGCACAAACCGCCAGCCCCTGGACTGGAGACAGTGGAATCCCTGTTGCTGGTGATTCAGAAGAGCAGATCAGATAAGCATTCGCCTGGGATGGGGTGTGAGTGTATATAATCCTGCCTTTGAATCAGGAGATATGAATAGGTGACCTCTTGTGCTCCCTTCCAGGTCTGTTCTTCAGTGAGAGAACATTTTTCAAATTCTGATTAAAATTCAATAAGCAAGGGCTGCATGGGACTTGTACATGAAGCCAGAATACACACTGGGCCACTCAGGCTCTGCAAGTCCCAACGCAGACCCAAAGGCTGCACCAGACACACAATGGTGACAACAAAGAAGTGGCTCATCCCTAACTGCTTTTAACTTCTAAAATGCCCTCTCTCCCAATTCACTAAGGCAGCAGATCCTAAGCAAGAAACAGAAACGTGGGAAACTTCACCCCTGAGTTGCATTTTATCTTGACTTTATTTATTGGGATATCATTTGAAAATGTTATTCTTGCCCACCCCCTTCCTCAAACAGAGCAGGAAGTGGTGTGGCTTCATTACTCACCCGGAGTTTTCTCAGGACAAACTCCTACTGATAATCCTGATTCATACACCTGAAACACAACACGCGAAAAATACACCAGGAAAGGAAACTGATGCAATGAAAACAAACAATCTCCATCCTAATCTTCTGAAAGTCTCTTTCTATTTCACCTCCCTCGAGGGTATTAGCAATTCCCTAACAAATCCCAGGTGACACAATCAGTATCAAGAGCTCCCACGCAGGCTGACAGCAGTCACCACTACCATTTTAAGCACTAACCCATGAAACAGGCGCAGAGAAAACCTGACAGCATGCACCAACTAGTCATATTAGAGTGTCCTTGCTTGCACAGCAGCCACAGCAGGCGACCCATATTCAGACCATTAGTTTTCCTGCTATCAGTGGAGCTGACCTAATATTAGCAAAATATTTCCCTGTTTGGATAAAAAAAAAAAAACCTCCTGTGGTTAATGCAAATCCCAAACCTGCAGATGCAGGGAGGCTAAACCTCATGCAAATGATCAGGCCAAAACTGAACAGCGGGGAACCGGGCTCAGTGTCAGGCACGTTGCCTTCTGCACCGAATGCAGGCTAAACCTCATGCAAATGATCAGGCCAAAACTGAACAGCGGGGAACCTGGGCTCAGTGTCAGGCACGTTGCCTTCTGCACCGAATGCAGAACTCTCTGCCTTGCAGCTAATCCAGCAGGTCCCTGCATGATAATGGAGTCTTCCTCCCTGTTCCCAAGAAGCTAGCAGCTTCACCACCTCTTCCTTAGCTAACAGCTCTTCTTCTCCACAGGTCATCAACCACCTTTTTCCTCAGACCGTCTCACTTATTAACATGGCTACACTTAAAGTCATTGTTCTTAAATTGCATTTAAAGATCAGTACTCCTATTTCAGGCCCTGAGAGGAAGCTCCCTCCCTCCAGTTTACTCATTCGGTCTAACAGCAGCTCCCACCTCTCCCCACAAGCCTGGCCATCTCACTGGAACATAACACCAGAAATAGGTCACAGACAGTTGCGCTGCACTACAGGAATTGATTTTGACTATCTGTTTAAAATAGGGTCTTGACTCTATTAGGGTTTTACAGCAAGCCAGCTACCCCCACACAAAAGGACTCAGATCTGTAGCAAAGCCAGAGCTGTACCACAGCACCCGCTGGGGGCTACTGAGGGCTGCAGGATCATGCTTTTGCTGTGCCATCACTGGAAGATGATGTGCTTGTCTCCCTGGGCACAGGATCAGGCCCTGCAATCAATAACCATGTGTCTTCAGGATCAGGGCCACAAAACAGCCCCCTCAATAGAGCTAGGACCGACTCAAACTTTTCTTTTTGCTGTCCTCTATTTCCCAGCTAACATCTTCGAGACCTAGCACTGTATGTTAGTATAGGAGAAAGCCACAGGAGCACTTCAAGTAATACATATTAGCTTCCTCTTGGTGTGGAAAGAACCAGCAACAGTATTGCTGCAGAACATGAACGTTTCTGACAAAGGATGAGGCAAAAAAACCGGGCGTTAGGTTTCTGGAATGACTTAGTAGGTGTTGGGATGGCAACTGACCGATTCATATTGGCTTCAGGGGGGTGTGCCAAACCGGGCACCGCCAAAACCACGACCCTCAGCGAGGCCGAGGAGCCTGTCAGTAGCCTCATCACCCCGGCTCCAGGCAGCCGGGTTTGCCAGCCCGGGGACTGCAAGGAGCGGCAACTGTGCAGCCCCACAGCAGGGAACACCCCGAGATCTTCCTCCCTCCTCCAGAGAGCGGCTCTGTGCCGCTCCCTGCGGCCAGCCACGGCACCGGCCAGGCTCCCTTGCACCCGGGGCTCTCCCGCCACCGGCTGAAGCCACCGCTCCACCCCTCCCAAAGGAGACCTTTCCAGCAGACCCCTCCTGCAGCCCCCGAACCCCCCGAGCTGCCCTCAGGCCTCCCCCTCACGGCCGCCCGTCCCGCTCACCGCCCCTCTCGGCCAGGCCTCGCCGTCCCGGAAGTGGTTCCCGCCCGGCAGGAAGTACAGCCCACCCCGCCCCTAGCAACCGCCCGGGGCGCCGCGTTGCTAAGGGCGGCCTGCGGGCGGCTCCGGGGCCTGCGGGGCCGGGTTTCCCCCAAAAAGCTCCTGAGGCCGCTCGGCTTCATGCAGCCGTGGGCCCCGTCCCGCCTGTGGGCGTCTGTGGGTTCCGACCCCGCGGCTGTGGGTACCCACGGTCAGGCCCGGGGTGCTCCACTGCCATAAGGGCTGCCCCGGGCCTTTAGGCCTCTGGGTTAATGTACTTGCCCCGAATTCAGTGCAAGCATTTTAATTCCTTCTATCAATAGGGTGGCCTTTCAGTCCTGGCAGGTTTCTCCTTATCTGCGAGGTTTTGATCTGCTCCCTTGAAGTGCTCTGGCAGCAACAATTAAGACACACGCTTCTGGCTTTGCTCTTGCTGGGGATATATTTTTTTTTTAAACTTTTAATGCCCCAGTTCAGTATCCAGCTCTGAAATGGAGATGTCTCGATAAGATGACCTACAAAGGCAAAAAATGGCTTGTGGTCTGTTTTGCTCCTTTGTGGTATTTAAAGAATCCGATTTGTTTTGTCCTTTTCCTAACCCTAAAATATCAGTAGTGCCAGGTTAGTTTTGCTGTAGAGCTATATTATCAGACAGCCTAAATACTCTGGGGAAAACCTAATCAGTTACTTATCTACTGAGGGAGTAAGGTATGGCATTTGTAATAAAAGGATTTTCTAGGCTGTTACCAAGCATTTGAATTAAATGGGTATTAATGAAAACAATTTCAAAGGTTTTGAGCAAATGGATTAAAAACCTTTCATCTTTTTTTTACTGCAGAAGACTTTACAGACAGCTGGAGAACGTGTAGGGCTGTGAGTTGCAGAGGCCAGAGACACTTGTACAAAGAAATTCTTCCATCATAAAAATCCTAAGGGAAAAAAAGGACTCTTATTAAAATAATTACCAGAGCTTCCCCTGCCCCTGGTGAGCAGCTGCACTGGCCAAGGAATAAATCCAGAGCTCAGGAAAGGCAGTCAATTCTGCCCTTTCAGCTCCCAAACACCGACTATTTAGGACATAAAAACATCGAGGAGGGAGAAATAATTCTGTGAATGTCGGGAGAGATCCTATCGGTATGGATTAAATGGCCAGATTAAATTCTTCCCAGTACAACTGGTACCCTGAATTTGGTGGGGCTGGTGTCCACATGCACCTTCCCATGGGCTCTGATCCTCGCAGTTTGAAGTTTGCAGGTGAAGGGGAAAATACACACTTAGATCGCACCAATACTGTGCGTTTTCTTCCTTTCTCCTCCTCTCCTGCAAAGAAACGGCATGACTTATTCTGAGCAGAAATAGGTGGAGGGGGGAACCACCAGTCTGTGACCCCCTGAGACTTTCAAACCCTTTGAGGGCAAAGCCAGGCTCTGCAGAGGAGACACTCCTTTGCCTTTGAGCCGCAAGCAGGTGGTGCCATTAGCCTGCGTTGGCTGCCTGCCTCCCGCCAGCACCACACTGACCCCTGTGCCTCAGCTGATTGTGAAATGATAAAAAAGGAAGTTATTTATTAACAAAACGGGAAGATACTTTTTTTCCCCAAAGCCTACGGGATGTGAGGGGGTTTCAAAGCTAAAATTGACTCAATAAGGGGAAATGGCAATTTTGTCAGCATCCAATTCCAAGTCGAGGGAGAGCTCAAGCATGAAGTCTCTCTCCAAAACCAAAACCAAATCATACTTAGCTCTTTTAGTTTTTCCTACATTTTTTCTTCGGTTTGCATTGCAGTATTTCCTGCATGTCTTTGCGGCGAGATCTATTTATTAACATTCATTGCACGTGTAGCGTATCCTGGTGCACCAAGGTCTTCTCACCCTCAGGTTGCATATCATTATTCAGCCAGGAAAAAATTAGCAACAACTGCTTTCATTTTTCAGCCCTTACTGGAAACCTGGCCTTCCTCACTCCCTCTCCATAAACTACATTTTACTTTTTCAATACCAGTAACGCATTTCACTCAAATTCTGTTTTTTTTCATGAGAAGCTTTCAAAGCACTTTCCCAGGTGAGCAGTAATAGCAGCGTTTGGATTCTGCTGGGAAACCAAGTCACAGAAAACACGCAGCCCAACACCCTCCCTGATGGGGAGGGGGGACGTTGAGGTAGTCACTAGAGTTCTCTGCAGAAGGTGGGCATCCGCAGACCCCTTCCTACACTCCCTCTCCATCCCAGAGCACGGATGTCTCAGTGCTTCCAAAAATCAGGAGTAGGGTCCTCAAATGGGGCACCAGCACCCAAGAGTTGGCAGCTGAAGGACCTTTGTGAGCCTGTTCGTCACGAGTCGGTGGCAGGGTTAGGACTGAAGCCCTGTTCACTGATTTTGGCTGGAACATGCAGCGTAACCTTCCAGCCCAGGCTCCTTTCCAAACTTAAATAAGAGCGGTAAGACCAAAGACAAACCCCTTGATTATTGAGATTCACCCCTGGAGTCCGAGCTCTGTCTGCCAGGGTTGGAAGAGAAAGGAGATGGTATGTAGAGAGCCAGAAATTCAGGAACCAGTAACTCTCAAGCCTGCAGCTGAGTGTAACATGCTGACACCTGGCTGAAACTCTTGGCAGTTCACTTGGGCGACGCTGAAGCTCTGCCAGGAAATAAACAGCCAGACAGGTACAGGCTCCATAAGTGGATCTCACCCGCAGAGCTCATCAGGCCTCCTGACAGATACACATCTCCCAGGCTGGTGCCATTTGTTCCATTGTAGTCTCAGTGATAGGTTAACGTTTGAAGATTAAGTAGGCTTTTCAAGCAGGCTTTTAACACTGTGAGACAGTCCTTTCTGATCGCGCTTCTTGCACATGTTGAATTACTGATTTATTTTGTCTATTTTTAATCTGATCCCTTGTTTCAGACTCATTCTCGCAGTGCAAACCGCCCTCTCATCCAGAGGGACTCCTTCCTTGAGATTATTTTGATAAACGTTCGTATTCAGCTTCCTACCACTCTGAATTCCTCAAGGGAAAATTCTCCCTGGGAAATCTATTGATGTTCAGAGGATTGAGTCCGTAGGATCTGAAGATCCAAATGCCAGCACTTTATCCGTCCAAGGTGGAAAAACCAAGTCTCATATAATTTTCTAATGGCAAGTCTCACCACACCTGCTGGGTTTAAGTTTTGGCTCCTCTGCTTCTTCCTTAGAAAAAACTGAGCCAAATCTTGTCTTTTTCATCTCATTTTTGTTTGCTTGCCTTCCACAGAAATGACTGCTTTTTTCAAAGAACTCAGGAATGAAAGTTACTGTGTACACACCAGTAACGGACAATATAATTAAATGATTGATGAACAATTAATTTATAACGTGCCTTAGTTCTGCCACTTGCAATAAGACAGTTGAACCAAAAATGTCTTCCATTCTCCCTCTAAGATGGCAAACAGGCAAAAAATACAACTTTTGATCTTAGACAGCTCTGTTTAGTTTACAATTAGGGTATTTGTGATAAGTTAGTCACCACCACAGCTTGCAAGTAAAAGAAAACCTGAGACAACAGCTGTGTGGGGCTCTCTCAGGAGTGGTGGGGACTGGAGAAGCTGGGGACCGACAACCACCATCTGTGCCGTTTTGGAGAAGTACAGAAAAGCTTTTGATAGCTGAGAATACGGGATGGTTGGGATTTTTTTTGCCATTTGATGAGTTACTTCTCAGTGTCATTAGCTGCAGCCTCACAAGGTGAGCAGGACCATTTCACATGCTGCTGGGCTTAGCTGAAGCCATACGTCGCACACCCAGAATAGACAGGGGCAATTTTTTAAAGCATGGCATGGAGACTGGAGGAGGCAAAGCTAAGAGGAAATCAATACCTGGGAAATTGCTGCAGGATCCTAACACTGTGTCCTTTGTCAGTGAAGGACTGGCACTGAAATAAAACTATCTGGCATGTGCTTCACCCAAGGACCATAGGGAGGTCAGGTCTGCATGGATGTGACTCCAAAATCCAGCAGTTCCAGCCGCAGAAGGTACCTGTGGCAGCTCAGACCTGGCTGTAGACTCCATTGGACTTGTGCTGGTGTGGGTTTGGAGGGCAAATGGACACTTGCCCACCATGTGCTGCTAACCTGAAGTGATGACCTGTGGGAGGGTGTTACACACCTCTGTTTGGGGAGCCAGCAGATGCTGATAACACTAGCTGCTGCGGGGCCTAGGGACAAATCAAGAGATATTCTCAAGAGAAAAAGCTGCTCATTTTGCAAAACAAGATGTCATCTGCTGTGCTGAATTATTATTGATACTAAAATGAAGTTGCCCCAAGGAATGCTACCACACAACTAGTACATTTAGAATTTGGACGCCACTGATACACACAGAACAGCTGTTGGGCTGTGAGGAGAGCAGGACTGTGGCCAGGGCCACCCTCCTGTGTGTGTAAGGGGTACCAGCTCTACCTGTGTGACTATTCCACTGAAAAAATGACCCTGAGAACAAAGACCAGAGTTGCCAGCTCAAATATACACTGCAACACTGGCAAAAACTGGCTCCAAACAACACAGGATCCTATCACAGTCTGCAGCATCTTCACCCAGAGATGTCAGCAGCCAGAGCACCCACTGTGGGAGTCGAGCCGAGGCTGAACTGCTGGCAGCAGTGGGGGTCTGGGCCATTGCTGCTGCTGCTGAAGTAGCCTCGCTAGCCAGAGGGAGAGCCCAAGGAGTCTGGCAGAGGAATTCCACAAATGACCTTTCTGGGTCCTGGGAAGATACAAAGGTTCTGACTAAAGCTGGGACAGGAAATCCTGGGGACAGAAAAGCTGCTCTATTTATGCTATTTCAGAACTCCTATACACCCAACGGAGCCTTCAGGGGTTTTTAGAAATTTCTGCTGCCTCCCGCAATTAAACTGAAGTCATAAAGGGAGCTTGTTGTTGCATGAGTCTTGCTGGGTCCAGCTGTGCAGGGCAGGAACCCAACCCCAGCAGCGCAAGGAAACCCCTAGGATGATGGGGCTTTATAAAGCCATCTT